TAGCCTACTTATGCAAACAATATTGAATCTGGACTTGAAATTATTCTGATTAGGCCTAGCCTACATTGCAAATAAGCAGACAGCGCTGCCACACACACACACACACACACACACACACACACACACACACACACACACACACACACACACACACACACACACACACACACACACACACACACACACACACACACCTTGCGTTTTGAAGACTGATACATCCGAAATGGATGAACAAACTTTGCAGCCAGTTTCCCAGCTTTGCAGTGTATCCACGGGCATGCCTCCGCTACATCTCCTCCGTCCATGCATATGGGAAAGGTGAGCTTGAGCTAGCTAGGGCAACGTTGATAGCATAGCTAACGTTGATTAGTGCTGGCATTATCCACATCTTTAGGCGGCTCTTCTGAAATGTGTACTAGTAGCAGCTTCACTTGTAGCTTCGGTGCTGCTAGCCTCTTTCTTTTTGTGAATGATATTCTTTTTAGAAAAGAAGTCAAGTATAGAATGTTTGCCTGCCATTGTAGAGCTTTCTCGTTAGCATTCTTGAGGGAAAGAGCTGCCGCCAAATCACTGACACACCCCCAGCTCGCCGCGGGGTCACAAGCGTGATGACGAATCATCATTTTTTAAGGAAATCATTTTTATTTTGTATTATAATTACTGTGAAATGTATTATGTTTTTCTCATTATTACAACAAATACACACTTGCAACTGGCAATGATTTTATATTTATTAGACTATTAAAAAAAAGATCATGCTCCAAATAAGTGGGGGTACGGCGTACCCCCGTGTCCAACGCCCACTACACCACTGTCTATAATCGTAGCTAAGCAACAGTAACTGGCCAGCTAAGCTTGATGGTCATTTTACCGTATTTCCAAAACAAAAATACAAAGGCAAAATCATGAATGATGGATTCAAAAATGTATTGTCTGGTCAAACACATCATCGAACCTAAACAACAGAATAGAGCGTTAGCCAATGACTACCAAGAGTAGCCATGGATTGGCGAGCATTGTGAAACTGTTGCTAATTTAATATAAATTGGTTTGTTGTTTAGATTATATTCTATACTCAAAGAGTTAGCATTAACTATCTAAGATAAAATAAGATGGAGCTTTATTAATCCCCGTGGGGAAATTCAGTTAGCTAGTCATCTAGCTAGCTATAGATGTAGGTTAGGATGGAAGAGTGAAGGCTACTTGCTAAAAATTAGATGCCTGCTTTTGTCTTCCTTTTTTTTTTTAAATGTTTTCGAAAATAACTTTCAAAAATGACTATTAATGACACCGATAACGCAAATAACTGCAGTTCAGGATTACAAAGTTTGGCATAGCATCAGTAACAAAGCAGTATGAAAGCTAAAGTGATTCATTTGTATATATTACTAAGGTATGACATATCATTTGTTTTTCTCTGCAGCAGTTTGTTCCACCTCAAGCATTACATCTGAGAAGACTGCAATGTGTATGTTATTCCTGATTAACAACATATCATAAATAAAATGGCAGGTCAAACAGGTGTGACCATGACTTTATAAAGATCATATTGTATGTGTGCCTTTGCTACCTTTTCTGTACCAGTGTGATATTTCTGGTACACCTTGGTTAATGAATTATCCCCATGCTGGACAATGTGTTCTGAAGGGAGCGGGGGTAATGTGGAAGATATGCAGAAAATGTATTTGGGTTGACTGTCCGGCTATTAATAATGATTGTGTTTGGATAAATAGTGCCCTACTTTCACAATCTGTGGATCTAAATATTCCCAATAGGATTCTTCCCTCCTGTATTGATTGATTGGTTTAGTGTTTAAAGGTCATAGTCATAAAACATCAGCATGTAATTAACACAGCGTGATTTTTAACCAGTGGTTAATGCATTGCGTGCTCACTTTTTAAGTTTTAGCTTCTCAGTCTAGTGTTTGGATTTGAATTGAAGATAAGTGCAGAGGAAATGTAATTTGGTGTTCTTCACAAAGAAGGAGCAGGTGAGGCTGCAGGGCCTGTGATACATATCCTCATGTAGTGAGTCTTTAATCATGGTTTCCTTCAAAGAATAGATGGACTATTGTGTCTCCCCTTCCTCTTAACTAATGGCCTCCAAAACACTAAAACCCTACTTACATTCCATGCAGAGTCACGTGGAGACAAGACAGATGCGGGTCTGCGTCCTTATGGTTACCTCAGCTCCTACTGAATGTGGCAGAAGGAATACAATGAACATTCTGAGATGCTTTTATATTTCATATTGGCTTGGCCTTGATTTGAGTAAATGCTGAGATCCTACTGATGGATTTGACGCTAACAGCTTCATTTAAATATGCCTTTTACGTATTGTCACCAAAATGTGTTCAACTGAACTGACCACCACATTTAGTTCCACCCTTAATTGCTTGCGTAATCAGGTTCCATATCTAAATAACAAAAGAAAGCCTTCACATTTGCTCTATTGTTGGACTGAGAGTTGAGTCTATTCATAATTTCTCTAAGATTGAAACCATGTGTTTTGGTTTGTGCACAACACATTTATCTGAATGTCTCGGCTTTCTTTGGCTAAAAGGATGGAATCATATGTTTCCCTCTTCCTCTCTAACAGCCTGTGCACTGAAGGAACTGTTGTGCATTATAACACCAAATGCAGCAAGATGTATACATTCCTAATTAGCTTTTGATGATGATTGATTACATAATTAATTTGATATAAATCTAATTTAATATTGGTATAATTTATTTAAATAATAATTGCAAAGTTCCAAATGAATTTTAAAATGTTTTCTCATTCAATGATCTTAATGTGTACCTGATCCACCGTTTTGGCTTGTCAAGTTTAAAATCAGCCTGACTGCTTAGACTGGTTTCTTTCAAAGCAGATTGCTTTGAAAGATCACTACCCTCACTCACTTGGCAATGGCTCAAACCCAATTGATCCAGGAGAGGAACAAGATGGAATGTGAAATTAACACAGGGTTTACAAATTCCTTGACTGTAATATTTATCTGAAAATCCTTACTTTCCATTGTTAAGGACAGTTTATATTCCACAAACACAAAAACGGGGTTTGGTTTTCATTTGGCTGCAGCATTGTTCCACCTTGAGAAGGACAAATCACCAGAAAGAATCCGATATGAGAGGAAACCACAACCCCGGTAATTTAATCAGAGTGACTCAAATCAAAGGAGGCAAAAGTTCAGGATCTGAATGCAATGTAATGTATCAGTTCCTTAGAACCTACTGACATAGCTCACTTGTGGAGGAGCAAGCCTAGACAGAGGGCTGAGTAATGAAGATGGATGCATTCTGTTATCAGGCAGCCACTTACTGGGCCTGATGTAACCTTAAACATTGAGGATAGCTCAGTTGCACAAAGAATCTAATTAATGAATAGCAGCCATGAAAGAGGACAAGGCAAGTGTGCATTTGCAGATGAATTCCAGACACTAATCAAACACTGTTCAAGTGCTTTGCTTGGTTTGTCTCCAGAGCAAGGCAATATTTGGCCAGGACTTAAAGCAATGTTTGCACACTGGCTTGATGACTGCATGCATGCTTCAGTGTGTGTTATGTGTGTGTGTGTCTGATTCTTTTTATTTAGTTTTCTTGTTTGTTTTGTTTGTGTGAAAGTGCTTTATACCGTTTTAAAGTGCCAAGCCAGTGGTAATAAACCACTACATATACAGATCATGTGTGATGTTGTATTATTAAGTTGATTGTTTACCCTCCATCATTGGTCAACTCTACAGTTAATAGGACTTATATAAGGGGGAAATGTCTATTTGCTCGTTATGGCTATAGCTCGGTATATATTGATTGTTTTTAGCTGGAAACCCACTAAACAATTTAAAAGATAATGGCTACTAAATTAGTTTGTGTCACCATAGACAGAGAGTGTACATTATCTTGTAATGGTAGTGTTTAGGGTGCAAAACCCTGGCCTTGGACAAATTATTTAATGACTAGATCTGGATGCGATCCAAGTGATCCATTCTTCACTTGTTAAGAACACAACTCTAAGCAAAGTGTGCACTTGTGTAATTAATCAAGGTTAGACATAATTAGGACCCATTATTTCGCTAAAGTTTTTTTTTTTAAATAGTCAACATAACCTGGTTCCAGACCTGTGCATGGCTTTACATTTAAATAACCAGATCATTTTTGTGTAATCATTTCTATGAACAGATATATGCATATGAATGCAACATATTTAGACAATGGTATGGAGGATTTTGCTATTGGAAGCCTCCTGGTTTCATGTGTCGCCTAGTAGGATTCACCAATGTCGTTTGAGACGACTTTGGTTGCATGCTGGTAAACTGTTTGTGTTGAGAGCAAAACACAGAAACACATTGACCAAATGCAGGCTGGGAAACCATCGGCTATCTTCTGGTACAGAGATGTGCATATGACTTGAGATTGGACTGTTAAAACCAGCACTCTGAAGAGGAAGTCTTGGGGTTGCTTGCTACACTGGAACCTGAATAATATTAGTTGTTACACCCTGAGACTAAATAGTCATCAAACCAACAGCTGATGGGTTGATGAAGTCAAACAAAATGGTTATTCAGTGTGATTAATAGGCCATGCAAGCACCTTATGACACTGCGCTAGGACATGGCTGTGATTTGAATAAATGCTAATGTGAGCATGCTAACATGCTAAAAATGGCAATGCTACAAATGCTTGGCAGTCGATGCCTTATATGGTTAGCACCTGAGTGTAGCATGTTTAGCAATAAAGTTTGGGACGATGGGAATGCCATGGTATTTGGTCAGAAACCAAAGTATTGAAATTATGCAAAGGTCAGACAAGAACCAATAACATTTAGAGCGCATCTAAAGCATGTTGCGGACACACAACACGTTATTTTTCCTTTTCGTTAGCATTTTTAATGGGGCATTGAAATCTAAAACTGCAACCTTTTGATGAATGTGTTTATTTTTCTAGTGAAACAACAGTGTGAATTCCTGACACTTACAGTACTTCCTGCTCTCTGTTGTCCAGTACCAGGTCCAGAGGAGGTCTCCATGGCGCCCTGTGAGCTCCCAGGGGCAGACGTGGCTGGTGCTGCTCAGTGCTCTCGTGTTGATGTTTCTGGTTCCTTACGCTGTTTACTGCCTGATGACCGCCTTCACCAACCCTCCTCCTTCCATCACCTTTAAAGTGGCAGCAGCCACCTTTGGTCTGCTGACAGAGATCCTGATCATCAAGTGAGTACTTTCCTTTTAGTATTAACTCTCAAACCTGTACTTAAAGTGCCCTTGGGTCTGAACTTCTTCTCACATGGCAAACAAAGTCAGAACATCATCTATCAAAATCATGACGACGTCTCCCATCTCTGTTTTGTTTTGTCCTAGCTGTGTGCTCTTCAGCAAAATAAATCTTTGAGCAACATTTCATCTTTATGTAATCTTCAAAACTAGTAGCGGTGAGTGTCGGTTTTCACCCAAATAATCATCCCCCACCTCTCTTGTTTTTTCTCTTGTGCTTCTTTCCCATTTCGATATTGCTAATTGGAATGATGCCTGCGGTATTGTAAACCATTAGTAAATGAACAGTCTGTTTTTATCAACATCTAGCTTGTAAATAATGCATTAGATTCCTGGCATAAACAATATCTACTCTGTGATTAGAAAGCAACATATGGCTGATACTGTAATCAGATTACAAATGTAGGTTATATAATCTCTAATTGCTTAAAAGCAGTGCCCAAATCAGGCTGAAGAATACAGGATTACGTGAAAATAGAGAAATAATAGTCCTAATGGTCAAATGTTGTGACATATTGACTGTCCCTCATCAACTGATGCTGGGATTTAGACAAGCCCAGCTTGATAACATTCATTGTGAAATATAATGGGAGTAGTCAAAGTGATGTAACCTTCCATTCACCCTAAACAGCATTTCGTGCCAGTAGCTAAATTAAAACTTTGTGTTCCTCTAGTATTTGTCTTAACTAAAATAGAGAGGCTGTTTGTAATTAACTCAACAAGGCTCGTAACTTTTTTCCCCCATTAAGTGCCTTTGCAAGGAATGCGGCTAGTGAACTGGTAATTAATAAATGTGGTTGCACTGCTAATGTGCTTCTGCATCATTATGTTGTTGCAGCCCTTATCCACGCTAGTAATGAGCTGTAATTCTATGACAGGAAATTAGTTTGTTTACAACACATTGAGCGGTTTGAGACGAGATACATTCTTGGCAGATCTGGGCTGCAGGTAAGTGCTCATTGTTTGAGTTTGAAGAGGTTCAAATACGTTGTCATGCTAACAGTTATACCGTTAAAATACTAGCACTTTGTTAATGAGCATGAATCATTCAAAAATAACTTGTTGTTCAGGCTTTTTTGAAGCGTCAAAGCCTGAACAAATCTAAAACGTTTGCAGTAAACCCATAATCCAAACTGTATGTAATATCATTATATATAATGGTGGAACAAGTATGTTTATATGTAGCAAACGTAACAATACCACTGTGTCAAAGTACTCTCATACATGTCAAAGTTCGTCATTCAAAATCCTACATAATTAACGTGAAATTGTCAAAAAACACCATTAAATTCAATTGGCTGACTTCCTGTTGGGTTTGCTGACTCGCTCTAATTTGTTTTGTTTGCTTTGTTGTCTCTATGTTTTACATTTAACCACTAAATTCATCCATGTAGGACATTTGCAAAGATAGGTTCTATGTGGTACTGTGCTGCAAACCCTTTTTTACATACATTTTCACCAGCTTTGGATTTAATGATTTTTTTTTTTTTTTTACATGATTTTCAAATGTCCAATTCATTAATAATATTAATACTAAAATAATAAAATGAAAAATAATAATAATAAAATGGGCAAAATAATATATAGAGCATTTATGTGTTTATTATTATTAATGTGTCACTACTTTTAATACACCTGGGGTATCTTAATAAAAAAGAATACCTCATAATAAAGAGCTGATTTACTTTGTATTAATATTGTATATATCTTCAAAGTAACTTGTTTAGTTAAATTAAGGATTACATATCTAGTAAACCTGTGTTAAAATAATGACCTAAAAGCAGTGCTTGTTCAGTTCCAGCTTGTCTCCTGTCCATGTCTCAGTCTGCTCCACACACTGGAGGTGTCCCACTGCAGGAACAGGTTTCTGTTCACTCATGCACGTTATCACTGGTGTGATTGGGAGGGTGGTGGGTGCCCTTGTTAGGATGGGTGGGCCTCACAGACCCGTGCCCCATGGTGCTTGTGCTGCCTGGGATGTGCCAGCCTCCTGCTGCCCCCTGTCAGCCTGCATCTCAGTCACTATTCCCCCCGAGGGTGGAGGTCCCTGTGAGGTCCGACCCCCTCATCTCTCACCCACCACACGGCCTGGTTTCTAAGAGAAAGAACGAGACGAAGATAAACACTTCAGAAAAACCTTTTATTGTGCTGAATCCATATTCTGTACTCTCGTGTTCATTAATAATCACTCTTGATTAAATGGTCACATGCTATAATGGCAATGTATTGGAAAGAGGGCTAAAGCATTTTGCTGCCATCCAGTAAGTAAAGTAAATGAGCCTCTGTTTCTTATCTGTTGTCAGTTGCCATGGCTACATCACTTCAGACACAGGTTTTGTTTTCTTGAAAGCAATTACATTGTCAGTTCTGAGGAAATATGACAGTTTAATAAAAGGTTATGGTCATTTGGCTAATAGTTGTAATGCTTTCTCATCTGTTTGTCAAAACCAATATTCTAGATTGTTCTTGGTGTGAATAAGTTCCATAAGAATAACAAAAGCAAAATAAATGTATCCTACTTCAGTTGTTCCTCCATCACCATGACATAGCACTGCAGTTTATTTTTGCGATTCAGTCATCATCCTGCTCCATAAGAAACTCACAATTGAACCAAAGCTGAAAATCGTCCCCAAATAACACACTTTTAACACGTTTGCAAAGAACGACAGAGCCCAGCTGTTTACTAAAATTACTGAGCCTTTTTTTCAAATGAAACTATTAAATTGTGACCCATAATTAACAATTGACATTGTGCGTAGTAACTAATGGGCTTCATGGAAATTGCAGTCAATAAGAAAAATATTGACTTATAGCTGAATTTTTGTTAAAAAGTTGTCCGGCTATTTCAGAGATATTTCACTTTCACAAACGTGGCAGTGCTGGGTTAAAGTGCTGCAAGCTCAAATGAATGTAAAAGGAAACCCAGTGAAGTGTACATTATTTGTTCTTCACAGTGTTGTTAATTTTAACAACACTGTTATTTATTTTGTAATGTTGTCAGCTGTTTTATAAATTAGTCTTAGTCTTGAGTCCAATGTCCTTCTTAATTGTTATCCTACTTAGTAAATATTACTGCATGATGATATAGTCATAGATAGAAAATAAGGTACCACTTTACAATAAGACTACCCTTATAAAGGATTCATAAAGGGTTTATAATTAGGTTATTAATTAGATTGTAAAAACGTTATTAATCATTAAGAACCATTTATAAACCAGTTCTAACATAGTTTTCATTCATCAACACAGGCTCTATTTGGCAAGATGACTAAGCCTTATATTGGCTACTTAGCGAGAATCAACTCAGTGAGCAACAGATACCAAGGATGCTGGCTGATGAAGAAGACGAAGTTCTAGGTAGCCAATATAAGGCTTAGCAGTACAGATCCATGTGGACTCACTATTTGGCAAGTAACCGGACACAGTTGCCCTGTGTATCTCATGTCTTATAAAAGATTATTAATGATTTATAAAGTGTTCACAACCTAATTAATACATGACTATTCGTAAACCCTTTATAAGGGTAGTCTTATTGTAAAGTGGTACCAAAAATAATTATACCTGTGCCATCTTGTTCTTGAGGATTACATTCATAGATTCAATAAAAAAAAAATGAACAACAACTTATTTTGTATGAATCCTTCATATTTCTATCCACTCCAATGTGGTTTCCTGTTTGAACCTTTAAAATAATCGTTATTTTTTCACCCTCGGTTTGCAGGTTTGTTATTGGACACATTCACAAAGTCACATGACATTTGTCAGGCTTGAACTGCCTTTCAGTTTGCTGTCACACAGTCTGCACCCTCTCCTTCCTGTATGTCAGGGCGAGCGCTGAGACGCTGCCTGACCACGCAGCTCTGCACTGTGAATTTTTATATGCCATGCCTGGAGGTTAGAAACTCTCATTATGCCGTGTTAGATTTATTAAAATAGATTATGGAAATGTTAATTAAGTCATTAATTACATTATTTAAGCAGCATTGACAGATAAGGGAGTGTGTGTGTATGTGTGTCGGGGGGGGGGGTTGTCGAGCTCCCTGGGTGGTTTAAAAGGATGTGATTGGTGACAAGGGACACTGTGGAGATGGCGTCTAACCGCTAGCACTGACATGATACAAAGTGGCCTCCGCTGCTCTCTCACCTCACGCTACTGTCAGCTGCCCGAGGACCAGGAGCTATCCGTCCTTTTGCAGATATAAGTCTTCACAAAAGGACAAATGTACTTGTTAAAAAGGTAGTAACTACACACTGAGAGCAGTGCTTAGAGTATAGACATTTGCAATCTGCTTTACATTTTCCTCAGTGGAGCATTTGCTGTGACATTTGAACCAAGGCCTCAAATCATATTTCCAAGCTGTTCCCAAGGAAAACACAACGGCACAATTGTAAGATGAATTACCCGGGAGTTGATACTATGGACTCTCTTATCTGTTGACAGTTTAGTTACCGCAAAGCACAATAAATGTGTTTTCCCATTCTCTGAGAATTGAGCTTTTCTTTGTCCCATCAAGCCTATATTAAGGGAGGGGAAATTCACACTTGATAAGAACAAATAATAGATGTTGTAAACAAGCAGCATGCTTCAATTTTGATCTAAGGCATTGATTTGCCTCAGCAGCCAATTACTGTGTGGACTGAGGTTATGCATCCAGTCGATCTGCTGGGAGAGGGAGTTTTGTCTGCTGTCTTTTACTTTGTACCAAACAGTTCCTAAAATGTGACTGAATGTAAAATGTATCATTAAAGGTACTTATTATTCCCGCCAGCTGTGCTGATCCAGTGAGTTCACTCTGGTATCTTCTGAACCACTCCAGGGTCCTTAACCTCCTAATCAAACTATATTAAATGATGGCACTGACCTGCACATTAGCACACACACAAGTACACACACGGATGCCCCCCTCCTTTTATTATTTTATTTATGTTTTCTTTTTCTTCATATCTCTATTATTATTTGGATGTTGTACAACTTTTTTGTTGATCTCTGTTTGTACTATTTTCTTTCATGTGTTCTTGTTATATGTTGGCTCTGTAGATACAGCTTAATGAAAATGGAAAAACTGCTGAATACAATCTGACCATGTCTGTAAAATGAATTTGAAGCTGAAATAAAAACTGAGTTAAAAAAATGTAGGTACTTATTATAGCAATTTACATACATTTATCGCTTTTGTATTATCACAAGTTTAGTGAAAGTCTAATCTGGCTTTAAATGTGGCAATAGCTTAATGTTCGCTAATAGTGCTAACATTAAAGGGATAGTGGAAATGGAACCTCAAATAGTTTCGTTTTAACTTATATACAAGCATAATTACGTACCAAAACAATCACACCTGATTAAAAAAATATAATAATTGCCTTACGCATGTTAGAAGCACTTTATTGCAGCTTCCCCGAAGTTTTTTGGAAACGAAATGTTCGACTCAGCCAAACCGGAAGTGACGAAAACTCAGGAAGACGATACGATAACAAACTATGGCGTCTATGCAGAATGAACGTGGAAGGGCAAATATACCAGACAAAGAAGAAGGATTGTACGAGGTATCCAGTAATGATAGCGAGTCAGAAACATCCTCTCGGCTTTCCTACGAAAATGTCGTTTTAGGAACTGAATCTGAATCCGGTTCAGTAAGCGACGATGGTGAGAATATTGAGCCAGACGATGGACCATTACGTCCTTATTTGTTCGAGCCCGAGGTGATGGTTCACGGCATGGGCAATGGCGAGGATGACCAGGACCAGGCGCCAGATGATGCACCCCTACGCACAAATAATATTGACTGGTAGGTCCCTAAGCATAGCTCACGCATCTTAAGATCACCTGTAGCCTTTACAAATATTAATCATTGTTAACCAGTTAAGCCCGAAGGTCCCCCCAGTGGACCCCTCCCACAGTTTTTTTTCTCTCACATGTCTCAGGGCTTCTTAACATTTATGAAACTATTAATGTTTCATACCCTTTTAAAGGTAAGAAACTCCGCTAACTGACAATAAGAACAATTGTTAGCTAGAAAAAACACAAGTGTAATACCAAGCCTTTGAATTAGCATTGAGCGAAACAATGCTAACTAATGCTAACGCTTTTTTACACACAACACACGGTGGAAATGCCCTTATTACTATCTTAACTGCACAAACAAGATATACGATTTAAAGCTGAGACTCCACAGATGTAATGTCATCACTGTAAGACCTCGAATTCCTGGAGCTATCAGCCAGAAAAGAGAAAGTAAACAACATCCGGTTCCAAAAATATTACAATAATTACGTCTTACCTTTTTTGATTTGTGATCAAAAGTTGTGTTCAACGGAATAAAAACGCATCTCAAGGTTAATCCAATGTCGTTGTGTCACGTAGAATTTTTTACTGATAATCAATCATCATATTTATGGCAATATACTCGGTATAAAGTATTGCCGTCGTACAGTCTTATAGTATTACCTATAGTGAACATTTCTGAACAAATTTCACCCACTGATGACGAATGGCTGGGTTTCTTGGAAATGCATGAGTCGATACGCCATTCTCTGCATTTGCTGTCGCACTACAGCCATACAAAACACATCTATTCACCATAATAAAGGTCGGCTATTCACATGCAAATGCTATTGAATGTCCGCCATTGTTTGTGCCCGTCTTCCTCTGCTCTCGTCATCACCCGAAGATTCCCGACGACTCCCGAAGTATTTCGTTTCATTGAGAGGGCGCAGTAAAATTGAAAATAAAATGAAACTAGGCGCATGAAATAAAAAAAAATTGTTTATTATGCTTATTTTTAATACAAATACATAAGTTAAACCCAAAATTCGCGGATTTCCACTATCCCTTTAAGAAGCAAAAATGCTAGATTGATGCAGCATAGCTGAATTAGAGATAGCTGGCTAACCTTTACGGTGGCCCTGAAGTACAAGTCAAAACAACATTTCACAAAACACTACAGCATTTCAGAAAACACAACGACATTTCAAAAAATACTACAGCATTTCAGAAAACACTACAGCATTTCACAAAACACTTCAACATTTCAACTTTTACGGAAAGGGTATTCCTTAAAGCCCCTGTCACACTGTCCCGAAATTGACACCAGATGGACACACGATAAAGGAAATGTTCAAATTCGGCTTTGATTGTAACAACATCGGGCCATTCGTGAGGGCATCTTAAGCCTTCGTAAGACCGCCGGTGGAGTTTCTCAGGCTCCGGCAGCAACTTCGTGAGCGGTGGCAAAATCTTTGGCATGCCAAGACATTTCCGAAGGACCTTGCGAAGGTTCATTTTTGTGTTGAATTTGTGTGTCCATTTTGCCCTTCATAAGGCACTCGTGAGGGCATCTTGTCAAATCGTATCATCTTCGTCTGATCATCTTGCCATCGGGCATTTTTCGCCTCACGAACACAATACGAAGGAAACAAGAAGCTGCTCGATTGTCTTAGGAAGGCAACACGACTACTTGAAGCTCTCGCAATGCCGTCGTGTAGCCATCGTATTATAGTACGATCTCAGTGCTGCATTTGATACTATCGACCATGATATCTTATTGCAAAGACTAGAGCACTTAGTTGGCATACAGGGAACTGCTTTAGACTGGTTTAGGTCCTATCTATCTGAACGCTCTCAGTTTGTACGTGTCAATGATGAATCTTCCACGCAAACCAAAGTTAGCCATGGAGTGCCACAGGGCTCAGTGCTCGGACCTATTTTGTTCACATTATATATGCTTCCGTTAGGCAATATTATAAGGAATCATTCTGTAAACTTTCATTGTTATGCGGATGATACTCAACTATATTTATCAATCAAGCCTGATGAAATTAATCATCTAAATAAAATTCAAGACTGCCTTAAGGACTTAAAAACGTGGATGACCTTAAACTTTTTGATGTTAAACACGATCAAAACTGAAGTTATTGTACTTGGCCCGAATAATCTACGAAACAAATTATCTAAGGATATACTAACTATGGATGGCATTCATTTGGCCTCCAGTGAGACTGTAAGGAATCTTGGTGTTATATTTGATCAGGATTTATCCTTTAACGCCCACATAAAATCAATTTCAAGGACCGCCTACTTCCATCTACGTAACATTGCAAAAATCAGGCATATCTTGCGTCAAAACGATGCAGAGAAACTAGTCCATGCATTTGTTACTTCAAGGCTGGGTTATTGTAACTCT